GCCAACGAATAGTGGGATTGACCGTCACATTATAACACCCCACGGCTGAAAGGGCGAGCATGTTTGGTGTAACGGAGATTTGAACCTGCGATCCTCAAATTGCGAGTCAAGTGCCTTAACCACCTGGCCATGCCGGGCCCGTCACAATTTAAGGTCAAAACTAAAACTAACTTTCTGGAAATTATCACGATCAAACAACTATATTAAGCACACTTATGTTTACTACGTCCTATAAACGTGGATAAATAGTAAAAAATCATTATTAAAGAACATTCTGAATAATCTTCTTGCAGTTCACAAGGGTAGCTCGTTATACAGTCGAGAAGTCTGGTTAGTAATTTTTAGGACAACACTTTGTGGCCTCGTGCGACAAATAAAAATTGTAGTCTGTCATTTCTTAATTTTTTTTATTAAAGTTACTGTTAGTAGAGCTAGTTTTTGTAGAAATAAAGCGAATGGAAAGAACCTGGCTATATTGTTTTCCTACATGAAAGTACAAAGAAAAATATTAGAATGTAGACGAAAAACAGTTTTTATGTCATTTTCCTTGCAACTTTCCGTATTTAAAACCTATCTTACTCACTTTAGAATTTCACTAAATTTATATGAATGTTTCGTAAGTATAGAACCAGTTTACATTTGAGAAGAATTATTTTGAATGTGTTTCAGAAATCAATAATGTTGCCAAAGGTAAGCCAACTGTTCAGAGTTCAACCTACCACGACGACACCGGAAAGAATTACGACCCTGACATAGCAGTTGACGGTCAACCGAACAGTGTATTTGACACCTGTTTATTTCAACACACAGATTTTCCTGACATTTATCCCTGGTGGCAAGTAGATTTACAGGGTATTCACCTTGTGTGGAATGTCTCTATTCTGAACAGAGAAGACTGCTGCGGTAAGTTGTCTTTGCACCTGTAAGAACAAAAACAGAAATATACAAAAACAAAATTAGAGACTATAAACCCATAAAACAACTGAGGTCATAACGAAACAGAGATTGTACTGATGACATAACAGTAAAATGCTTTGTTCATAGTAATGGAACCCACTTTATTAACGATAGAGTCTTAGAAATACTCCTCACTATTTAAAACTTTACATACATTACTCAATTGTTTCGTGAAAAACAACAGTTTTCACAGTACATAGGAGATATCTCTCCTAGCTGATAGACATTTTCGAAATTAACCTCTTTTCATGCTCAGTTTATGAAATGTGGCTATTTGAAGTTCCGAAACCGAAGGGCCGGAGTGTGGTGTCGAGAACCTCTGGTTCAGGTCTAGTTGGCGCACAAAAAACTAAATCACGCTCCACACATTGGAACCGTGGGTGCGTTATATGAGTAACAGTCAAATCCGACTAGTCGCTAGTAAATCAAACGGCTAGTGAAACTAAGCTACTGCTGAAACTTTAAATTAATGTGATTGTACCGCATTGAACTCTTTAGTGTTTTCAAATGATTTTATTAGGAACTATATCATCGATATTAAAACTACCGAATGTTCAACGCTTTATTTCCTCGGCAATTTGTGAAAGAACAAAGAATAAAAATTAGATTTATCACATGAGGGAGGAGTTAGTACACGTAAGGAAAAACAGATTGTTTTAAAAACTAGTTTTAAATTAATTTGCTGGGAATTGAAATTTCAGACTGTTTGTCTAGTATGTCTCACAAAATTGAAGAAAAGTTAACACTATCAACACATTAGGATTAGTATTGTGTTATAACTGGGATGACCAGATTTCCAAACCCAAAAAGCGGGACAACTTAGTCCTTGTCCCTAATTTCAAAATAGTTATTGCAAGTTTGAAATAATTTAATATTTATTTACTTTACTTTAAATGTATTGAACTGTTCCACAGTGTTTCCAAATATTTTAACATTGTTTCTTAAATAAATTCAACTAAAGTTCTACTACAGTATTATGAACTAAAGTATTTGCGCAGACCTGGATTTCTCACCACGCACACAGATGGAACTTTCGAGAGAGTTTCTCGGAACACTGGGACAAACTACCATAAAACGAGACTGTCCCGGCAAAGCCGGCCGTCTGATCATCCTAGTTATGGTGTAGATTATGTACCATTCCGTATTTTCTAAATGTGTTATGCTAAAACAAACCGAAAGAAATCAAACATTCTTCAAGTTCTAATTATTTTGGCAACTTCAAGTACGCAAATCTTTGGACAGAAATCGCCAGACATTGTTCCTCAAACTCTGTAAATTAATTCTGTTTGTTAGAGAGAACATGTTTTTGCTTGATCTAAAGCTTTCCAAATTTGGCTTTAGGTTAACAAATATTTTAATATCGTTACAGCTTTACAGTGAAGTTTTAATTAAAATTGCGAAGCTCAGCTCGCTCTTATTGGCTTAAAGTTAAACGTTGAAATTGTAATTGCTTAAAAAATGTCCACTGTAAAGCTGATAACTATATTAAAGTTAAACACCCAGTAGAATCCGCTAATTTTAATCTTAAAAAAATTCATTTTTATTATATTTTTAGATGACCGTCTTCACGAGCTAGATATTCGTGTAGGCCTTACTCCAATCAGCCACCCTGCGCACAAAAATAAGTTGTACGAAAAGAATCCGTTATGTCAGCATTATTCTGGAGCCGGGATTGGGGCTGGAGAATGGGCTCACTTCTCCTGCCATTTTCAGCCGGTTATTGGCAGATATGTTACCATTCAGATCGTACAATTCTGTCCCACTTGCAAGGAACCAGACCACAACATTTTGACCATGTGCGAAGTGAGAGTGTTTGGGATTCGCGTGTAGTCGTAATGAAGTTATTTTCCAAACCAATAATTCAGTTTCCAATTTCAAATAATATTTTGAACTTCTTCCCGTCGAACTCAGTATAATGACGACATGTTTAATGCTACCTACCTTTTGATCTTAAAGGTATGCCATGAAATTGTACTATGTATACTTACTTTTGTTTTCTGCACTGAAATGTTAACTGATCGTCTGTATGTTTTTTGATTCGAGAGTGCACATTTTCATTTCGTACTTAAAACTTCTAGTCTGAGTATTTACTGCAGTAATTTATATAGCCAATCAAAATAAATGTAGGCCTGCACTTTTAAAGTATTCACCCCTTAAAAGTTAAGTTGAAAATCAAATAATCTTACCTGTACATTTCTATAGAAATAATAGTTTTCAGTATTTATATATTTGTTATTATGAGTAAATTTAGATTTTAAAATCGTTTTACACTATTTTTAAGAGTGTTTGTGCGGCAATTATTCTTTATTATCACAGAAACTATGCGGTCCTTTCAGCTACTGTAAAAATTGACACTGGTTAACATTCATTTGTGATTACCCATCAACAGACAGATATACGATCTCTATATCTTCTTGCACGAGTGCCTTTTCAAGTTTATCAATAAAGTTCTTTGTCTGTCATCAGTTGTTACGTTTATTTAAAGTTTTAATAAAATAATCTGCCCTTACTAATTCAACTGTACTGTGGTGTGTCTTTCTTTGATAAGGTTAAGTTTTATACTTATGTGAAACACATTAGCTGTCTAAATTTCAGCAACATGCTTTTCTTTTTAATTTTAGCGCTAAATATATATATATTAATGTATACGGTTTGTGGGAAAACAAAAAGCTATATCAGTGAATCATTAATTATTCTGTTTGTTGTTAAAACACGGTACCAACGGTAGTGAACCAACATACAATATTAAAGCCAAAATATTACCTTATACAATCAGACGAGCACAAACTAACAGGGTAACAATAAAACAGACGAATTTAGGTCTCAACCACTACTGTGTCTGTCGTATCCCAGCCGGCATGAAGAGCCCTGGTACGAGCCGAAAAGCTTCGTCGGCACTGGATATAGTGTGGTTGACATGTTATTATGCACTCTTCTTGACTTTCACCTCGAAACTATTATTAATAGCTTCTGTTAAAGTCTTTTTTAGACGTTGTGGTCGCTTGACCTGCTCAAGGATCAAGAAGTCTAGTTTGTTAATTCGCTAATTCTCCTAAGTAGATTAGCAGGTTAATTCAAGAAAATAATAATAATTAATAATATATGTTGTTAAAATAAATAAATAATATAGTGTTAAATAATTGTTTCTTTAATTATTATGTGTTATGACATAAATAAAATTGATAAAAAATTATACTTCACCAACTGGTGATAAAGAAAGGCCTCGTCGGCACTAGATGCAGTGCGGAACATACTCCCTTCTTTACTTTCACTCAGAATTTCTTAGTAATAACTAAATACCAAATAATATCAGCCAACCATTACACAATATTTGGATAACACACTGTAGTAATGTTAACATAACCAGACCAAAAATACAACATACACCACGATGTTAATACTACTTTACTGCGGTTACAGTATGAAACAACTAATGATACTGACAAGACCAGACCAACAATAGTCAACGATACGTGGTCGGTATTTATAGTAAAGCTAAAAGGCTATTTGCCATTTTTCCTA